ACGGGTCACGCATGATTAATTCATGTAAAGTTGAAATTCACACAATTCTTTCTATTTTAATAGTTCTGGCTCTAATAAATGGTGTCATTTGGCAATACCTTTTTTTAAAGATAAGATGCTTTTCAATCCCATCAGCAGGTTCTTTAGGTCCACAGAGGTAAACTGTCAGTTGTAAATCAGTTTGCTCAGAACTTTGTCCATTTGTGTTTTGTTAGATGTGTAAAATTAAAAATTTCTCAGCATGCACTATCTGGTCAGACAACAGCAGTACAATCATATTCCCAATGTGTACAGAGATGTGCAGAAGAAAGTGATTTGGATGAGTTATTCCAGCTTACACTTGGCTGTTTGTTGTGGCAAAGCCGCACCACTATGTGTTTGCGCTGCTGAAACCGCTACGCAGCTGTACGGACACCTCCACGGTCACATGCCTGAGCCTGTTTGGACAGCTACCTCTTGTTACCGTAACATGCAAAGCCACCCATTTGCCATTCAAACATGGGCTGTGTGTCGTGCTCTCCAGCTCATGGCTATTTCCCTAAGCTGGGCTGCCTCGTGCAGCACCGCCGCTTCTTTCAGATCTGTTGATGGACTGAGTGAGGGGAGAATAAAGGAGCAGTAATGCAGGACAAAGGAATAGTTTTTGGCAGCATCTCCCTGTGCTGAAAATTAAAACTCGGCCCTGTGATTTTTGCCCGTCACAAATAATGACCAAAGGCAATTAAATGCAAACCGTGAGACTTGACACGCATGTCATTATAGGAATTCAGATGGCAAAGGAGGGCTTTTATACAAATACCTGTTGTGTAACTGAGCCTTTGTAAAGGAAGACGCAGACAGGCAGAGATGAAAGGTAGGGCAAACAAAGGCAGCAGTTCGGAAAAATTCAAACAAAAAAGGCTTTTACCGGCTGCCTGTTCACACACGTGAGGATTTGCTGATATTCTGTTGTCAGTTATTGTAAATTGCATTGATACTGTAGCGCTCTGAGAAATTCTAATGTAATTTCTTGAGTGGACTATTCATAGTCCACTTGATAAACAACATCATTGCACAAGGAGTTAATAGATTTACACTAGTTCTATCCATCAGTGGTGACATATAACAGAAGCTCCAATCAGCGGCTTCAGCACAGAATTAACAGAAAGATCTTTAACCAGATGTTTCTGCATGGACAGCCTTGGCTTAGTGAGGGGACATTTTTAGTTTGTAGAATTATTATACTTACACAATTTTTTTTTTAAACTAGAGGTGTAACAACACGTGTATATGTACTATTCATACGCATTGCTCAGTTCAGTACCAAGACCCAATCGATGACAAAAGTAGGGCTGTCATACTATCAGATAACAGACAGGCTACACAAATATTATGGCCAAAATAATTCCCCAAAATAAGCCTTTCTGTTGAATTCCTCTTTAAGTTTGTTTGATGTGTGTGTGTGTTCTCCTTCAGGCAAGTAAATTAAACTCCACCCCAAGCCGACAAGAGTGCGAATGGTCATCCATGTGGCAACTACGCAAAAATGGTAGTTAGCTAATTAAAGTCTATCAGTTGAGAACATTTAGCAAAATTGACATCCTGAGTGGAATACATAGGCGCTGACCTACCATGCATATGGAAATGTGTCCTCAAAGTGGAGGAGAAAGTAGTACAATAATAACAACTATGTGTCCACACCTATATGAAAGGGAGAGTAATCGAGACTTTATTGTCTATCGTGAACAAACAGGCCCAAATATCACCTAGAAAGCACTAAAACATTATTGGAGTATTATTACATTATTACCAGAGTGTCAGGGGTTTCGCAAAGGTGTCAAATAAGCATGTGCACACCTACGCAGGCGGCAGAGGAAAAGAATGAGGTGATAAAACTGAACAGAAACATGGAGACAGCAACAAGTCTGGCAGAGGGAGGAGAGCCGAAGACAAAGAGAAGGAGGCCGGGAGAATTAACGCAGTCTCTTCTCTCAGGGGGGCTGAGAGCGCAGAACAGTAAGTAAACCTTGTAGAAGCCTGCAGGGCAGCCGTGGTCCCTCGGCTCGCCACAACAACTGGCACGCCGCCTGCCTGCTCCGAACGGGACCGCTCGAAGGAGCCGGCACCTAGGCGCTGCAACCGGCTAGAGGGCAGGAGAAAGCGGGAAACGGGACGATCTGCACCCAACACAAACAAAGCTGCTTCGCCATCACAACAAACAGCGCTGCATGCAGGATGGACTGGAGGCATCTGTGTAACTGCTATAGGAAGTAACACTGGTGAGGGGGGGGATTTAGCAGAATACTGTGTTAGTATGCAGAATACTGTGTTAGTATGGCATTTGAATGGTGTATTTTAGGCAAGGTAAAATTTGGAGAGAAGAGATGAGTTTGAGCTTTAAGGGTGTGGTGTCAGGAGACGCAGCAGTGACGGGAGATCAGATTTAACACATCAGGATGTTGGATGCAATATCGAGTAGATGCAGGTGCACGCTGCTTGAAGGAGCCCCAACTGCTTCGACAGCACTTCATTACATCTAAATCCAGTTTATAAAGATTTCACTGTTTGTAAAAAGTCAAAAAGATTCAATTAACAGGCCGGAAATTATATAAGTTTAAGTGGCAGTTGACAACCTGCAGATGAGGTGAACAGGTGAAGATAAGAATGAGTTGGACAGGCATGTTTTCTCCAAAACATCTCCAAAATTGCATCATTAATCAGAGTCATTACTCATCTGCGATGTAGGGAAACGTCACCAAGCGTACCCAATCTACTACTGCTTCACCCAGATTCTTTAGAAAAAATAATAACACCTTTTGGGCTCCTCATCACCACCAGGAAATCATTAGTGACTCAGCTGTGACTAACAGTGACGTGATGAAAATTCTGAGCATTTTCAAGTTAATTGCAGGCTGTGTTTCCACAGAGCAGAGAGGAGAAAATTAAAAATTTAAGTAGTAAAATATCTATGTCGAGTGCCTTATTTATTACAGTATTGGTTGTACCTGTGGACACAACAAAAATGTGGTAGATGCTGAATCCACGTTTTCCATTGTTTTTTTAAAACTATTTTTTGCCATTCTAACTGCATCACACTGCACAGATAACATTTCTAGTTCTCTCGACTTCCAGCCACGATTGAACTGTTTCTATCAAGGTGCAGGATTTAATACTGCAGTAAAAATGCAACAGGAGCAAAAAAAAACAACAACATATATTTAGGAAAATGGCTACTCACGTTTTAACGTATATTCACAGGTTTAACTACAAAAACATTACATTAAGTTTCATTTTATTCTTGGAGATTTTCTTTTATAATAAAAACAAAGTATATATAACGAAATTGCTGTCTGTATATCACCAGTGTGGCAGTAGAGATGTCTTTACATAACTGTGTAGAGGAGATGGCGAAAATTCTGGAAATATCATGATGGTGGGAAGCTGTCTGGCTTAGAAACTGGGAGAAAGGTGTGCTTCGTGCCTCCCAGAAATACCTGCCATTATTCTATTGACTGAATTGCTCACATACAGTAGCAGGCAAATATTTGTAAATTTCGACACAAAGTGCACCTGTCGGGCTCGAAGTGTTAAACCGGCAAAAGTGACAGACGGCCACCAGTGAGAAGTCTGAATGTTTGGACACTGCTAATAAAATGCTTGCAGCTGTGTAAGGACAAACTTAAAAACAACAGTGCTTCAGGCTCAATGCTGCTGAAAGACTGTTTATCTTGTCCAGCAGCGGAGTTCTGCTTGTTAACATTTGCTAATAAGCACTAAACCTAAGTAAACACAAGGTTACTAGATGAAAGGTTAGTCAGGTTCTTCACTCTGAAGGGGACACAAGTGTTTTTCCAAATTTCGGGAAAACTTTCACTTAAAGTGAAAGAAATTTCACTTAAAACTACTACGCAGTTAATTTTCTAAATGTTTCACTTTATTGATATTAATTATATTCAATTAATATATTCAATTTGTTTTATTTATTTACTTTGTAAATTTTACTTTTTGATCTGTTTAGTTAACAAGCATTTAATTTAAATAATAATAGTAATAAGTAAAAAGAAGTAGTTTTTGTTTTGTATTAGTTTCTACATGATTTTTGTGTTCTGTTGCACCACTAAACATCTCTAATGACTTCATATAGGCAGTAGATGGGAAGGCAAGCGATCAAAGTCAGAGGAATTCATCCTCTGAGGACCAGGAGTCACAACACCTGGTGCCAAACTGTCCATTTCAGCGATGGAGCCGCAGAGTGAACTGTGTAGGTACCAGGTCAGCATTTTTGCCTCACTGAATTCCATTTGTGGGTTGTACAGGGAAAATGTTGTGCTTTTTCCTCATAAATAATGAAGCAGCTCTTGTCTCCGACTGCAGTTGTACATTTACGCCCAGCTCAGAGGTAACCACAAAATTCAGCTGATATTGACTCATCTCAGATGTATCTGGCTGGCAGACATAAAAAAAAATGTAGCTGAGAACAATGTTTGAGATTGTTTAGAAATAATGTCTCCAATCTAAAGTTCATCCACGTTGTTGTTCACAATCTGTGTCTTTGAAAAAGCTAATTTAAGAATCCTAATCAAGGTTGTGGATATTTATGTGAAAACATTAACCAATATGTCATAATTGGATTTTTTTTAAGCTTGAGAATAAAAATCAGCCTGTAAAAGACATCACCAGTAAATCTCACCGCCTTTTGTCAGCAGATGAGTTTTCCAGGCTAAATCCCAGAGCAACCTCCATCAGATGATGGAGAGAAAATGTACTAAATGTAAATTTTCACTTTGAGTAAAGACATTTTTCTGTATAAATAGAGAGCGCACTCAGGGGAGTAATGCATAAGGCTGTGCAGGTGATGACAATAAAATAACACCAATTTCCTCTACTGTTTTATTTAATTGTCAGTAGATTCCTCAAGAGGAACGCTATTGAATACAGGTAGTTCTATTACAATATGCGTTTCAACTGGTGCTTTTGAGCAAAACATTGTCCTTTAATGAAAAAAAAATGTTAAAACTTACCAATTTTCTGGTTGAAAATTTTGTCAAACGTCAGTTCATCTCTCTCCTCCAGGTACTTCTGCATCACACTGCGAATACTGCGAACACATGGTGGTGGTGGGGAGAGGAAGAAGACAGAGGTTAACATACAGCATCATCACCCTCCACATGCAACATTGCTGGATCTCAGCAAAGTCAGTCCTCCTCCACCTTCCACCTAAGATCCTGGCCCAGGTTTAGGACTCTCCCAGCCGCCCGTCCCTGACAGAGTTCAGTGGCGGCAGCGGGGGGGGACGACACTTGGGAGGCGGCGGGGGAACCTGGAGAGATACATGCTACCCAGGGAACGGGTGTTAATGAGAAAGAGAGCGGGGAGAATGAATCAATTAGCACCCCCTCCATAGGCCCATTAACACTATATCAGCACACTGCATGCACGACAGGAAAGCAGGACAACGGTTTCACCTACAAACACCTATGCAGACAGACACTGAGCACGTGCAAGGCAAAATGCTGGCTCCCTATGGCCAACCGCCCACGTATTTACAATCTGATCGGGCTGCATTCTTTACTCACATGACATTTGATCAAAAGTATTTATAGCAGAATATGGAATCATCTGCCTGTACTTTATTAGTTTTAACGATTAATCAATTAGTGGTTGGTTTTGGTGCAGACTATTTGGACAGAAAATCATTTAAAATTTGCAACCTAAATTTGAAGAGCTTTTTGTTTTGTTTTAGAGTGAGGGAGGAAAACCCCAGTTTCTAAAAATACCCATGCACATGTGCACTAGGCCTAAATTTGGATTAGACTTTACTTGTAATACACGATGAAAGTAACAACAAATCGCCAACTGTGCATGTCATCCATCCTAATGATCTTAGGTAAAGTCAATCAATATGTAGTACTGAGCATATTCAGATTGGACTAGTGTTTCTCCTGCCAACAGGTGCAGCTTTATTTGTGAATCCATTCCACAAATCGGTCAGACAAACACAGAAAAGGGAGTTCATTCTGAATGTATGAATGCATGGACCTCGGGGGGAACAAAAAAAAAAAAAAGTGACACAACATGAGTGAGACTGCCGCTTCACAGAAACACCTGCTCCACCATTTGAAAGGCAATGACGTGTTGTAATTGTGGGTTATATATTTGATCCAGTGCAAACAATATTACACGTCAACCGAGGCCAAAACTGGGGCTGCTGGGTACCTAAAATAATCACAGAGGACCCCTGCAGATCAGTGCTGTTCGTGGGCGATATGAATGTAACCTGGGTCTGCAGGGAATCAGCAATGAAGGCAACATTTCGACTGCAGCTACAGGAACCAGAAGCTAGGAAGTAAACAGTTCCTCTTTTAGAGGAGGCCTGTTTGCCTCACTGAATCATTAGCAGCTGACTCTGGATTCTTTGTGTGAAACCTCACTGCTGTAGACACCACATAAATACAGTGGGTAAAATTTACTGTAAAAGTCATGCCTTATGAGTCGGTAAAACAGGTACACGGGAGTTATAGTTTCCGCTACAGTATAGATGGTTTGTGAGGTTAGGTAACAGTGTCTGCAGCTCAGACAGCTGCAGGTCATGACGCTGGTAATAAAACACAGGTGCATTAAAAAATTAAATAATGTACCAGACAGCACTTTCGACGCCAGCCATGCAGATCATCTGTATTTTAACTGCTTAGGATCTGAAACATCTATTTAAAAAAATTATAATTTAATAGAGCTTTCCTTCACCGCCCAGTACAAAGGAGGTAAACAGTCTGTTGTTTCACTGTAAAATAACCTCTAACAGATATTCTTCTTTCTAAAAACAATGCTCCAGATGGTCTAGATAACACAGAGTTTGATGTGAACAGTTTTCATTGTCTCTTACCAAAGCAAACCTCAGTCAGTAACAGCAGCAGCTTTACACATCAACATTAGCTTACGGGAGCAGATGACCGGAGCAGAGCGGAAAACAAAGAGGCTCCTGCTGTGACAGAACGGTTTGAGTGACAGAATGACTGCCGGCACATAGTGATAAATAAGGCAATGTTATCTACAGGGGATTGCACTGACGCTGAGAATTTATGAGTGGTGGGCCGAATGAATGTAGCGCTAACGCTGGTGTGCATTTCCTGCATTATGAGCGGCCCTCACAGAGCTTCAAAGACAAATAGGATCAAACAATGATCAACAAACTGCAGGGAGGCATCGCCTTTTAAACATACTCGCATGTGCCATCGTCCCAAACCTGGCCAAAGCAACTGCAGCGATGTGTACCAGCAAAGGACACTTAATCAACGGCCATAAGAATATTGCTTAAAAGAATATTTGACAGTTTTACTCAAATGCATTAAACGCAAACAGCCATAAAGCACAAAAAGTTCATTCTCAACTCCAAGCATGTTTTTTCCCCGTCTAATAAACAGCCCTTCATATATCCTTTGATAATGGAGCCCCTTCACCCTCACTTTGCTGTTTTTAACAACGTAACGAGCCGAAGAGGTGGTCACTCCGACATCTGGCAGGTTCGTATTAGTGAACAGAGAGCATTGTGGGGGTTAAGCTAGATACAGGCCACCATGACAAAGACTTCCAAGGCAGTTAATGTCCTCTGATCGGGCCTCACATGCACAAGGAACATCACTGTACTTGGACAGCATTCCAAGAGCCAAGTGGTGAATTAAACTAAGCTGCTTTAGCACCAAATGCTATCCCTCCATGGTTAAAGATAGCCGTATCAGCACATGAATAAACTTTTTAGCTATCATCAAATATTGATTTATTGCGCTGCCAATTATCGGTTATTCGGAAAACAGTTTGAAATTTGCATCCGTACTTCTCTTAATATTTTGAGGCCATTCCTTTATGCTTGCATATGTTTTGTTTGTATGTTTGTTATTGTTAACATCAAAAATATTACTTGAGCATCTTGATGAATACGTTAAAGCGGTTATTTTCAAAATAAACCATTTTCTGCTGGTCTTTACTAAAAAAACAGGACATTTTAAAATAATGAGTAATTAGCAACAGAAAAACTATTTTTGCCGTGACAAAGGTCTCAGCTGTATCACCCAGCCCTACGTCATCCTGAAATCTGACATTTTGCTGCTTAACCTGGCCTTACATTTTCATATCACATTTTTTCTATTTGGTGCCTGTTCATTTGAGATTTGATGAAGTCACACTGGGCTCCAGGATACTGCAATAAGCAATTTTTAGAAGCATTGTAACAAATTACTGTAAAAACACGGCCAAAGTCAAATCGTAGTCAACTGTTTTTCCAAAGTACAATGAAAAGTTGTAAAATCAGATGCTTCTTAAAGAGCCAAAAACAAGAATGACTGCTAACAGCACTTTACTGTAAGAACTGACAGTGAGATTTGAACAAAACAATTTCTAGCAACTTGATTTAGGCAGTCGAGACAACTAATGCTAACGGTACATGATGATCTGAAACAGCACATTTTAAAAAAATAACACTGAGTTCATTTATCTTCTAAAATATATTTGACTACAATTGTTCATACATTGTTCCCTTTAAACAAACATTCCCAATCCAATCCAATCCAAAATGTAACTTGCCTTATCCTTTATCGTTTTGGGTGTTTTAATGCCATATGCATTTTTAAATATTAAACAGAATAGGTAGATCTCAATTATGGATCATTAAGACTTCAGCCACAAAAATGCAGTAAAATGCTGGCAACCACAGCTGCCAGTGTTTTACAGGAAATTTCGCAATAGTGGGGAGAAAGAACATGAGGAAACATAGGTTAGTGTAATGAAAAACAACCTTTTTATTGCTATTCAAGGGCCCGTTGCTAACAGCAGGCTGTACGCCGCCTCTATGACGGGCTGCAGACTCGTCATTTTGGCTGCGTTACATCTATCTGCTCCGGCATGAACCAGCTCCCAGCATAGTTAGATGAGTGTGTGCTTACTTTCCAGCAAAGGCTCCAATAATACAATAAACCTTATGCTGCCTTCTAGGTGACCTTTACTAAACCCCCAACAGCTATTTCTGTGATGACAAAGCAGCATCCTGGTGGTGGGAGACCCTTCCAATGTTAACTGACCTAATTACATGCCTCACTATACAGCCTCAGCTGCATTTCAATGCTCACCTAACATTCTGATATATTTCCCAGCCCACGTTTGTTTTAAATGAATCACTACATGGACGGGGCCCATCTAAACCGCTTTTTGAACTCTACTTGCCTGAAATGACACTAATATTGAAAATGTTTCAGCGACACTGAGCTCCGGGTGGGTGAGATGGCTTTCATACATACGTATAGGTCTTTGAGTATAGAAGTAAAAGGTCAGAGAACATGCAGCGTAAAGGATACTGAATAAGGCTTTCACGCTTATTTGTCTTATCTTTGTTTTTAGGTCATTACCAGTTAACCCACCTTTCACTGTGGATTCTTTTTTTTTTTTTTTTTTGTTGCAATATTAAGTTCCCGCACCTCTATGGAAACAGCAAACCCGTGGCTAGAAGGGAAAAGAAAATGTCCTATTCTTTGAATATTTATTTTACAAAAACTGAGGCGTACTAACTGCTGTTAATATTATAAGGGCAAATGGTGGTACCATGTGTAACTCCATGTCTAACCCTAAACCAGAATTTTAACAATTTCAGTTTTTACAATCTCTACACATCAGCCATAGAAAGACATCTCATCACGCTGACTGTATCTTCCAACCGCTTGTTCATCTGTTTGTTTGCTTTTGAGTCATGCTGCATTTATTTTATTAATCAATTTTTCATTTGTCTCCCGGTCTGTCATGTCGTTTCCTCTCTGTCTGTGGAAATACGGCCCGCAGATGACCTAAAACTTGCTCAATTTTTATCACGTGACAGCTGGTCACGGCTCAGACAGTCATGGCTTTACTGTTGTTGCTCAGGGAGCTCAGAATTTTGTTTTGTTACACAATCTGGTTCGAGCCAGAGGGTTTATTTCTGGCAAGTTATTTAAAATGAGACATGTAGAATAAAGTAATTCTAATGAAAAATCATAATTTTAAGCTTAGATTTGGTTATTTTTCCCAATGTAGTCGCACAATCACACATGATTAGTATACGCAAAGTTGAAAATCTGA